TCAGAATTTGACGAATAACCTGAGCGGCGATTTCCTCTTCTGTTATCACTGACTCTTGATCTCCTTCTGTTTCTAGAATTCCTTAAGTTATCAAAAACCTGATACAAAATGCAGGAGGTCCACCAGTTGCCTTCATCACGAGGAAAGTCCTCAAACTCATCTCCAGTTTCATCATCACCATATTCAATCACATAGTCTCCTAGAACCACCCCACGCGGGACTTCTGAATGTATAGTGCTCAAAACATCAATTATCTCCGAGGATTGCTGAAAATTTTCCCAGTCAAGCACACGAGCTGGGTCAATTTTTGAAGGACGAGAATGTGGGTGCTCCAACTGAGCGTGTTTTTGTAGTTGAACATATGTTCCAGTAAATCTACATTGCTCCTCCTCACAACAACGCTTCTTCTCATCTAGATGTAGACGGGCCTCATTAACAACAATCCACCCCGTCACTTCCCCTCTACACAAGGGGCAAGATGGGTAGCAGTTCTCTTCAGATACCATTAACTCCATATTTGCTGTTGAACTCACATCAGATGTTGAAGGGGATGACATCCCATACGCAATTTTGTAACGATCCAAACAATTTGAGTGCAGATGGTCTGTGTCACACACAAAAGGCCGGCATCCTTTCTCATAAGATGAGCATTGAAGGAGGACAACATTGTGAGGGAAATCTAAACATATAGGACAAATCACATCATCCCAATTGATATTCAACTGAATGTCCTCCAAGCAGGATGTATTAGCTTGAAGCCCTCTTTCACAATAAGGTTCAAACGCCATAATTAGATAATTTACAGAGATCAACTAGCACATCACACGCACCTCCCTCATATCATAAAGATTGATAAAATCAACAAAACTTGTCCACCTTGATAATAAAGCTAGTAATGATGAACTAGTAGAAACATCCCTTGATTGAGTATATATATCTGTATATAGTAGAAAACAACACTAAGGAGTCATAAACATATCTCCCAAAATTTATTTGCAACAACTACACAAGTCTAAATCCATATCCCACAAACATAGATTCAATCACCTGCTAGTTAGCACTGAGATAAATTATCACTCAAAATCATTCCCTTCAAAGGGACATAACACACCACAACTTTTCTTAATCTAGACAGCAAAATCAATAGTCAATCACAAAACTAATTACAGACCCAGCTAAACAACCAGATTCATTATGACCCAAGAACCAATATCATAGAAAGACTTCAAAGAAACAAAATTTATGAAATGGGTATCCAGAACAATGAAAATGGATTCAGAAATGCAAAACCAAATCCCAAAATCAAATAAAAAATCGACACCCACTAAGATTTAGGAATCAATTATCATGACTATTATAATTTAAACTAAACAAGAACCCAGTAAATAAATCAAGCAAAGATGAAACAGAGTACTATTAAGTCGCCATCAAGTTAAGCTTACCTTTAAAAAGCTTGTTTCTGAAGTGAAAATGGAAATAACGATGAAATTGATTGAGAATTTCTGAACGAGGTAGAGAGGGAAAGGGAGACTTTACCCTTCCCTCCTGGGATTGAATGAAATTGAGAAGGTCAGCTTAGGAGTCGGTAGGGTCTCTCTTTTTTCTCTCCCACTCTATAAATATTTATTTTAGAATTTAAGAAATGATTTTTTTAATTTATGCCATTATTATTAATAGGTTAAAAAGTATATTTATTATATTTTTTATTATTAATTAATATTAAAAATAAAATTTCTTTTACAATTATAATCTTTAAAAATTATGATAAAAAGCTTTAAATACCTTAATCAATTGTCATTAAAGTAAAATAAGATTTATTAAAAATATTTAAATGATTTTAATATCTTAAATAACTTTAAAACCATAAATGACCTTGAAAGGATTCAGATGCTTTGATCAATCTGTCGTATAAAATATAATCTATGATAAACAACTTAAATAAGTTAGTAGTTATTTTTTTTCATTAAAAATAAAAAGTTTTGAATTCGAATAGCATGATATGTGGGTGTAGTAAAAAAATAAAAGATGATCGTCTCTCATTGTACAATCAAGATAATATATATATAATTTATGAAAAAATATATATAATTTATAAAAATATATATATCAATTTTAAATTTAAAATTAAATTAGATTTTTAATTTTTAATTTTATTATGTAATTTAAAATTTAAAATTTTATTTTATTTAATATTAAAATTTTAATTTTTTACTAAGAGTTAAGATTAATAAATATTAATTTTATAATTTACTAAGAATATTTAAATAATTTTGAAGGTAATCTTTGAAAAATTTTCTTTTTTATTTATTTCTTTCTATTTTTAAAATTTCCATTTTTCAAGAGAATAAAAAAAGAAAAATTATTTTGGTATAATTTTTTTGTATCATTTTTTGATACAACCTAACATATTATTTAAGATTAATTTTTTTATTTATATAAAATTTATTATATTAAATATATATTTATTTAATAATATATAAAAATTATTTTAAAAATTAATATAAAAAAATTAATTCTATAACATCAGTCATGAAAGAGAAAGGTCGAGTACATTTTTAAAACTCGATTGGCGAAATTGCCCCCCTTCCCGTTGACCGACCTGCGCTGCATTTCACGCTTGCAATTTCCACACGGCAGCACTTTTTTTTTTTTCTTTATTTTCCCAATCCACTTGTGGAAAAATGGAAAATTGAATTGGGCCCAAGAATGGGCGGTTTATTGTAAACGTGTATGGT